CAGTTTCATGCATTTCCTTGCAGTACACCGACCTTAATTTTCAATGTTCTGTCTACAATAGGCTTTCCATATACAAATTCCTCATTCAAAACAGAGCTGAATAAACTATAAATACAAAATCATATATGTAATCGCTGCTATCTGTGATGTTTGATCCCCTGCTCTTTTTTGTTGTGATAGGCCTCAAAAATTCACTTATTGTCATTTAAAAAGAATAATTGCAAAGTAGTTAACCTGAGTAAAGAAAAACCTCCAGCAGCTTACACACTGGATGTCTCAACATTCTCCCTCCCTGAAATTACACTAGCAAAAGCTTTTCCCTTTAAAATGAACCTCAGTAAACACGTTGGCCAGTAATCAGACCCATTGTCATATCTGAATTAAATGCAGAGCAGTCTGAGTGACTGCAGCACTGATGTCGAAGCAGCACCACCCCTGAGCCAACGGCTTTAAGGAGACCTGCTTAGAAAGTTTCCAGTAGAACAGCGTTCCAACACAAAGTGCTGACTTGATGAAACCCAAAATATTCCACAGGAATGTGCTAATTCAATGAAAACTTTTGAAAGAGGACTAGCCGGCTCGCTGAGCCAGCCAATCAGCCTAGTGAGCTGCCTGGCTCTCCCCAGCTCTCCAGGGTCACTGGCTTCCCCATCTGGCCAGGCACCAGGCTGCTAGTCCCTGCTCTCAGAGAGGCCCTTTAATAATAGTAATAGTAAATAGATAAATAAAAATAATGCCTTACAAAGTGTTCTGAGAAACAAACAAAGCAATTTTAAAATTAAAACCGGAATTACTTCAGGAACAACTGCAAGGTTGCATTTGTTACAAAGCATCTAAAACTTGCGCTCCTAAAGTCTTGAGTCTCTCAGGTGTCTTCTCAATTTTTATAAAACACCTTTCAGTGAAAAAAAGCATCAATACTGTAACAACACGAAATGAACAATAATTATATTCAAAACCTAAACTTCATGAGATAGGTCTAATCATCAGCAAGGAGTTAAAGGCAAGTGGCAAATTCAAGTAAATGCCCCTGCCTGACCAAAACACAGGGCTACCTTGTAAGCAATGTCTTTCGCCGAGCAGTCCCTAAGTGGGCTCCTTGCGTAACTCACCGTGGCAAACTTGAATGAGATGGTGCAAGGGCCCTCATTTAACACTTTTGAGAAGCTCAAAGGAGTAGGTATGGCTATATAATATTTTTGCAGTGGTTTTCACAAAAAAAAAAAAAAGTCAATCTGCCATCTACCAAAACTTGCTTTTGGCAACCTGTGGTTAACCAGTGAACAGGACCTATTCCGGCTTCTCAGCAACTCAGCAAGTAACAGTAAGAAGAGGGGTTTTAATTGCTAAAAAAAGCAAGTCTGTTTAAGACAGTAACACCAAACACCACAACATTTTTGCACAATTCCATTCATTTAACCTGCTTTTGTATCAAAATGCCTAGATATTGGTTCATGTGTGAGCACCACAAGTAGTTTAAGAGATGTAGAACAAAGTTCCACAGCAAAAAGAAAGAGCTCTTTTTACATGCCAACTTGAGCCAGCAATGAGATCTCTGTTGCAGGCAAGTCACATGATTTTGAAAGAACAAGGGTAATAAAACATACTGATTTATTTATATGAAAATCAGCACAAATTTGTGACCACTCTCTTTTAGAAAACACGTTTAAATCAGACAGCTGCCAGAGTTTGCCCTTCACTGACCCTTCCTATTGCCAAATGCAACGCACAAAGGTAGCTCAGAAAGCAATTAGAGATTGGCTGGGAGGATTCATTAATTTTTTTAAACTTCAAATCACAACTAAACAGTCATAACATTTTTCTGGGGAAGACTGTATGACTCAGACTCACATTTAAAAAGAAAGGTTTGTCTTCTCACAGTGACAAAATACAAACTTGCTACTTACACAACTTGCTCCCTGCTTTTTCTTAGCAAGAACAACTAACACATTTACAGTACCACGAGGAAACATATCTAGAAAAGAACTAGACACAAGCACAGTTCAATCCAACTGCTCAATTTTTAAACATCTTAGCACCTGCAAAGTCTAAGGCTCCCTTCAACTACTTGCAACACAAAATTCAGAAAGAAGGTGAAAGGAAAAAAAAAAAAGGAGAAAAAAAAGAAGAAACCTATTTTTCCTGCTAGTGGTAATAGGACTGGGAACCACGAGTGACCAACACAAGCAAATAGTGCCTACTTGGCTCTACTTGAGCACATATGGCATAAGGCCAAGATAATGATGAGAAAGTAAAGAATAAAAGAGATGCCTTCAATTTTGGAAGAAGGTATCGAAAGTTGATAGCAGCTCTTTTCTTCTTTCAAGCCAAAGCTGAGATGCCCTTCATACAGCTTATGACAAAAAGGCAGATCCATCACTGACCTCCTCATTATGGCAAACGGCAAAATATACAAGAAAAAAAAAAGCACACGTATAGACATTCATATGTGATTCTGGGCCTGTAATCATGGCAGCATTAAGTTATCCATCTGCTAGTTAATTCTCTTTCATTAGCCTCATTAAAGGGATCACAATCACATACAAAGTAAAAACTGAGTGCTGCACAACTCTGAAGCCACATCCTCAAATTCTTTGTGCTGCATTAATTTAAATAACCAGCTATAGGCTGTAATTTAAGATCTAGTCCACGACTCCAGGAGCTAACCAACTAGAGTTACAAGGATCGATGCACACTTCTATTAAGTGTTTATGAGAATGAAACCATACTTCTAAGTGTCTCTCTCAAACCAGTCTGTAATTTAGTAGTTTTCTCCTTTCAAGCTTACACAATCATTTTGTAGAATGAGTTTATCATTTTGTAGAATGAGTTTCTGAGGCTCTCTATACAGCAGACACACTCCTAAATTGAGAAGTGACATGTTGCTGGTAATAACTGATATTGCATTGTCCACAACTGCTTTTGTTGTGTTGCAGATTATCCAGAGAGTGCCTTCAGGTGCCACTGACAGTTTTCACTTCTGCTCAGTTATATGGAAGTTCATTGACTTAACGTACTGTGTAAAGTTAACAAGGTGGCCCAAAGGAGCTCCAACCAGCAATGTGCCAGCCGAGAGAAACAATGCAAGAAAAAAAAAAAGAGCCTGAATATGGCACTGTCATGACACAAATGAACATCACAAACAATACCAAGAGGCTACATTATGTAATTGCTGTATCTTTCAAAAAAAAGTTAGTCAGCTGAGGGTGCTCATACATACACGTAGGAAGCAGCAGGGGCAAAGGATCTCAGTCAGTCAGCTCGTAATTTGTGCACATCCCATCAGCTGGATTACTGCCAGAGTTTGCTCTCTGCCAGCTTGCCTCCTCCTGCTCCACTCCAACTGATTCCATGTGCATTATATCTCCCTGACTGGGGCGACTATCTTTCTTCTCCCTAATGTTCAATATCCCTCAGCACACAGATTTCTAACAACTTATCTTGGAAAATGCTCAGTCTTAAATTAAAAAAGGCAAAATAAAGAGAAACAAAGCCCCTTCTGTTAGATTAAGTCAACATTCTCAAATATATGTGTGGTAACACCAGGAGAAAAAAAAATATTTACTTTTCCTGAGCACTGTGCTTTGAAATGGATTTCACAACTTGAAGTATATTATTTATTAAGTACATGATTTTGAATTATTTCTGCAATTAAAGGCCAGCATTATTGCTATCCAGACAAAGAATAAGACAGGCCCAACCATCCTTCAAGACTTGTTCCAACAAAAAACAAACAAACAAACAAAAAATCCAGTGTAGGATACCATAAACACAAGGTACCAGAAGGGTCAAAGAGCCCATAACACTGCAGGTTACTTATGCAACAAATATCTTGTGTTGGAAGGGACCTCTGGAGGTCTTCTGGTCCAGCCCCTCAAAGCAGGACCAAGTTAGACTAAGTTGCTTACGGCCCTGTTCAGACAATTTCTGACATCTTCAAGGATAGAGGTTGCACAATCTCTTCAGGTGTCTGCCACTGTGCTTGACCACCCTAATTATGTGGCATTTCTGCCTTACATCGAATCAGATTTTTCCCTGATGTAACTTGTGACCACTGACTCTCAACTTTTTACTACGCAGCTCCAAAAAAAGAGTCCAACACCCTCTCCTCTACAATTTCTTTCTAATCACGTTCTGTTCTCACATATTCCACATCTGATGACTGGTGAGCAATACACTCATTCAGGAGGCACTGTAAGATTTCCTGATGGTAGGGCAGTTCTGCCAAAGTAGGCAATAAGGTTTCAGTAAGATTTTCTAATTCCTAGTTTTCTGAAATCTTTTTGTGTGCTTGCCATAGAACTGAGCGTCAGCCTAAGCCACAGCGATAGGAAGGTTTGATCACAACAGTGACAAAAGTCCTGTTTGCCTTGCATCAAAGGTTGCCTAGAAGGAAAGCTTAGTAGTAGGGAAAAAAACAGAGCTACTACAGCTGATCCATTTCACATTGGCAAGTCTCACTAAAATCACAAAAACATACATATCTACCAGTCCTGATGAAGTATCACATATGCAATCAGCTGAAGAGGGAGAAAGTTCCTCAGCTCCTTCAAGAAAGGGTCATTTTCTTCAATAACGTGTAACTGCACAGTGTGTCAAGTAACAGTTCTTAATAAAGTCCCCAGAAGGAGACTTGATCGAGCCATCACCATTTGATGCCATTAGATGAGAGGACGTTTAAGCTACACCTAGCTCCATAGTTTAGTGGACACTAAACACACACTGACTAATATCTGATCTTGCGGTCAAAAAATAGAATAAACACACTCAAATAAGAATAATTTTACATTTGCAGAACAAGTCAACAGTGTAAATCATATTGGCACACAGTATAAAAAAGACCAAGATCTTAGGAATTAATTTGAAAAAATGAACTACAAGCAAAAAACATACATCATTTCTGAGTCCACTGAACTAGTTACCAGAGTATCTTATTAAATAATTATTATCACTCTAATGTTTTAAATGAATAAATAATTGTCAGCTTACTTCTTTCTTACCATTGTAGGTTATCCTTGGTTTTGTCAAACACATCACAAGATGTAAATCCATCTCGTCAGAAGATACAAATTTTGAACATACAGGGCACTTGAATCCTACGGAAAATAAAAATATGTACGTGTGAGTACACTCAACCACATTGCAAATATGTATATTCAAGCCAAAAAGCTGTTCTGCACACATTAAAAGAAAGGAAAAACATATCTGGCAGCTTTTCGGTTTTGATCCGACATTTCTTACATGAATATACTTCCCTTGATTTAAAATGTCTCAAAATGGACCATTGTTTCTGTAAATTGTTCTGTTGCTAATTGAAACATGTTAGCACCTCTGAAATGCAAACTTTCCGAACAACTCTAAGAACAGTTTAAGACAGGAGCAAGAGGACAATATGCTTCTACTAAAACAGAAATTAGAAATGTGTAGAGAACACAGCCATTAAAATCTGAACTTGGGCAGGAACCTTGAATTAACAGACTCGCTTTTACCAGGAACAGCACTGAAACCTTAACAAAGGATCTCAGTTTTACATCTCATCATGCAAGCTGCAGCATTTTTTACCAGTCTGGGCCACCAGGAAAACATTAGCTCAGGGGTGCCGCTTCACCTACTGCATCACTAATATTTCCTGTAGCACTGAATTGGTTTGACTTCTCGCATCCTAGCCAAGCATAACCTTGTTTACATTTTGAGGTCACAGCGTGAGGAAATATGAGGTAAAGAATAATTAAGACAGTCTGCATTGTGATGTAACTGCAGAACAGTCCATGACAAAACTGCTTAATACTTTAATTTATGTTATTACCAAAGACAGCAGTCTTCCAGTTAAAGGACAAGATTGGTTGGGCAAGTTTTACGGTCCACAGAAAAGTCTGAGAAAGTCTGACTGATTTTGATCTGCTAAATAATTAACACACAAGTGAGAGACAAAAAGCCACCAACAGGGAACTTGATGCATACCAGCTGTTCAGGAGTACACCTACAGGACAACATACTGCAAACACATATAAATCCATGCTCAGTGCAAACGAGCAACTTTTTCCTTGACAATGTTGAAAAGTAATGATGCAGGCATGCTCTAAAGGCCACTGCACCTTCCACCAACATCCATATCTGGGCCTGCTCCCACATGTTTTAGTTTCTTGCCCCTTGCTTTTGTACTTCTAACCTTGGGAGTCCACAATGAACTGAGCCAGTCAAGGATGACAAGTGACTTGATGATGCACTTTGAAGTTACTGATGCCTGAGAATTTTGATCTTTACTGTTAATTATTATCCAGACGTAGATCAAGCAAGTAACCTGAATCATTAGCACTTGATGGAAGTAACATACTTCATTTATCAAGACAATTATTTTTATTTCTTTTGTGCAGCTAACAGGAACAGGTCAAAGCAGACAAGTGGTTAACACCCATGAGGAACTCTGAGCAGCAGCTGAACATGTACTGGAAACCACTTCCTGAGATTAAGTACAGTTCTGATTCTTCCCATTTTAGTCATAAGCAGTTCATATCTATTTCTTCTTGTGTCAAACTCATACTTCAGTTGAAATATTGCTCTTCTCTCCTTATTTTTAGTCCTCTTGCCCCAACCCACATCTTTACAAACAACAGTTACAACCACAGGTTAATAAGCACACAACAGGCAAACAAATCTTTTATTAAAAACAGGTTGGAAGGATTAATTTACTTGTAGAAAGCTTTGTCAGTGACCCTCCGCCACTGTGTAGCCTCCTTCCCCCAGGCTGCATTTCAACATGACTAAAACCGAAATTAGTATCTTAGTCCTCCAAACACCCAAAACCACCCATAACTGTTTTGTTACGTTTTTCTTAAAAAACTGACCTGGGGTAGATTTTCTCTCAACCTTTATCAGCCTAATGCAGCTGATTACTCTTAAGTCTAGTCAAAATCCACTAAGACCCATGCATTATTCTCATTTACATGCTTCTATAAGGCATAATGGACCACATATTTTGATGTGAAAAAGCACGTAACTTCCTTATACATTGCAGACTGAGTGCTGCTGTGCCAGAAGGGAGTGTTTGCATTACAGCAAGTTAACAATTACGTTCATGGCTAGTTAAGCAGTGGGACAGTCATTAACAGGTTCCCTTGGCTTTCTGGACAGAACCCTTCTAGCTTATTCCCTAGGGTCACCAGTATATCTAATTGGGAGTGACAGGGGGCAGAGAAAACCATCAACAGGTCTTTAGAACCACTGCTAAAGTTAACAGTGTTATTAAGAAGGTACATATCCCAGGAATGCTTGGAGGGAATATTTAAATCCAAATAAAACAGTGTGGAGAGTTGATGATGATGATGATGATGATGATGATAATAATAAATAATAATAATAATGTTTTTACTTAAAAACGTGCTTAAGGATATACAGCTGTAAAAAATCCTTCTGGTTATCTACCTAGAGTATTCAGCTGAATGTGGATATACTACCATATGCCTGCCCCTAAACCTAGTAAACAGACCACATTGCAGCAGTATAGCAAGTCCACATTTTAACAACATAGTGTCTTGTGGCTTGTTCAGTGTCAAGGGGTATCTGGAGGTAACAGTTAAGCAACTGCAAATATCTTCCTGACACAGCAGGTCTGGGATATCTGACTGCTATAGCTCTACTCAGCACAGTGCACTAAAGGTCCTGCACCATGGGTCAGGACAAAGAATGGGTCAAAAGCAGCCCAGAGGAGAAAGACTTGAGGGTGTTGTTTGATGAGAAGCTCAACATGAGCCAGCAATGTGTGCTTGCAGCCCAGAAAGTCAACTGTATCCTGGGCTGCATCAAAAGAAGCGTGGCCAGCAGGTCGAGGGAGGTGATTCTGCCCCTCTACGCTGCTCTTGTGAGAACCCACTGGGAGTACTGCATTCAGCTCTGGGGTCTTCAGCACAGGAAAGACATGGACCTGTTGGAGCAGGTGCAGAGGAGGGCCACAAAAATGATTAGAGGGCTGGAGCACCTCTCCCATGAAGACAGGCTGAGAGACTTGGAATTGTTCAGCCTGGAGAAGAGAAAGCTCCGGGAAGACCTTCTAGCAGCCTTCCACTACCTAAAGAGGGCCTACAAGAAAGCTGGAGAGAGACTTTTTACAAGGGGATGTAGAGACAGGACAAGGGGCAATGAATGAAAACTGAAAGAGGGTAGATTTTGATTAGATATAAGGAAGAAATTTTTTTACAATGAGGGTGGTGAGGCACTGGAACAGGATGCCCAGGGAAACTGTGAATGCCCCATCCCTGGAAGTGTTCAAGGCCAGGTCGGATGAGGCTTTGAGCAACATGGTCTAGTGGAAGATGTCTCTGCCCATGGCAAGGGAGATGACCTTTAAGGTCATAGAATGGTTTGGATTGGAAGGGACCTTCTCACCTCTTAGGTCCCTTCCAACCCTAGCCATTCTATGATTCTACTCCATAAAGAATCCAAACAGTAGAGGACATTAAGCTTAACTAAGCCTTATGGACCAAATTAGCAGCCAGTGTTAAAGGTATTTTTGTGGAAAAGATGTTTTTCCAGTAACCAGCAGCAGCTGCATGCCAGAGACTATTACAGACGAGAAAGTGCTGTGAGCTCGCAACCCCTGCTGAAACATTTTCCAAACACAAGTGAAATTTGACTTCTCAGTCCTTCACAATGTTCTGCTGCAATAAGCAGCTGTTGGATTTATCCATCTTCCCCAAGAGTGCACAGTGTATGTTTTGTGTAAAAGAAATTACCATTTCCAACTCCTTTAGTAACCCCAAAGAACAAATTATTTTGACTGTAGACACAACACTGATTTTACTTTTAACTGTATTTGAAAAATATAAATAAGTGAACAATCAACACTGTCCATAAGACAGCTAAAGGTCCTTTAAAAAAAGCTGGTATTTTCCCACCTTTCCTCAAAGCAGAAGGCAATAGTTTCATGACCCAGTTTACAATTAAGTACTCCATAAGAACAAAGACTCTATTGTACCACTGCCCAGCAGGCTAACAACATTTATAGCCTATGTTTGTTTTTACCACCAGTCTCAAGGAACAACTCCGATAACTCTTTAAAAGTTTTGCGTGACTTTAACAATCAGCAACAGGTCAAAAATAACTTGATCTCCACATGACTTGTTTTACTCAGTTTTGCAGATAAACAATACATTCACAGACTTTTGGATAACAAAGTGGAAGTAGTCATGAGATGAGGTGGCCTCAAGTGAAGAGTCCTCTAAAAACTATGAAACTCAATTAATTAACTACTTTCTTACTGTCTTTACAAGGAGAGTGCAAGAGAACAATGAGGGTGGTGGAACACTGGAACAGGTTGCCCAGAGAAGTTGTGGATGCACCAACCCTGGCAACACTCAAGGTCAGGCTGGATGGGGCTCTGAGCATCTTGATGTAGTTGAAGATGTCCCTGTTCATTGCAGGGGGCTTGGACTAGATGACTTTTAAAAGTCCCTTCCAACCCAAACAATTCTATGATTCTATAACATATAGTTCTAGGTAAAAATCAAGCTCTTATGAAGGTGTTGGTTTCACAGCATCACTTATCCTCATCCAAGATGAGGAACCTTTGTATTAGGGTTGTCATTGTTTGTCAGCATATCACTGCAAAGCTGTTCTTCCTTCTCCTGTAGTATAGAGGACATTGCCTGTGATACAACCTAAGTCCAGCAAAGAACCACCTCTTCCATTCTCTTTCTACACAGCAGGAAAGAACTGAGCATCAAAACTGAGCAAGCACACGCCTCTGGCTGACTTTTACAGCTGCATGTGTAAGGGGTAGGAAGAAAATTCTTACAAGCTGCCATCATCTAGTTTCAGAACCCTGACTACAATACTGAAAGTAACACATTACTTCAAAAACCCCATAATCCTGGAAAGAAGTACAATTACAAGAAAAGAGAGACCAAATAGAAAGTTGCAGTACAGCTACTAAAAAATCCCAAGGCACAGAAAGTTTGAAGTAACTAAACCTGCCTAAGTAGCAGGACTTAAATACTCAGAGGTGAATTCTCACTCTTACTCTCTCTTGAATGCATCATTTTCTTCACACTCTGCCATCTTTTGCAAATGAACCTCTATTTGCCAAGAAATCCCATCTTCT